TATATATATATATGTCATTTATGTATGTATTATGATTACGTTTTTATTGGTGCGCGCGTATGTATATGTGATACATGTTAAATGTGTACATACTGCTTAGAGACGCTGCTTTTTGCACTAAAGTTTATACGTTTTGTCTCAAAGACTGCTTCCAAACTCACTTGATCTTCGTCGGTCGATGTGCTTCATGTACGTCTCCGAATATATGCTTTTAGTACGATCGTCGTATCTGAAAACAGAATTAAAATCGTCGAATCTGCAAACAAAATCAAATATCGAAAATTATAATTTTTTTTTTCGTAAAGTTATACAGTAACGAAATTTTGTATATTATCCACTTATCCTTCAAACACATATATATATAGAATTCCCAAAGTTAAACAATCGTAATTTGCCAGTATATTTTATGCATAGAAAAAAAATGTTATATGAACATTGTTCTAAAAATGCTTTATTAGAAAGTTAAAACAAAAATATTAAATGTGAAAAAATTGCGGACATGCAGATGCATAAAGTGAAAATAACACTTAATGTTTATCTGATCAATATATGTATATCTAATAGTTTATTTTAGCTATATTTATTTATTATAACTCAAGTTTTATTTGTGAGAAACGGAGAAAGCAAAAGTGTATTAAATATATAAAAGTCAATAAGAAATTGAAACGAATCTCTTATGAAAATACAATTTAAATTACCTAATTAAATAACTAATTTAATTCTTTGCCATCCGCTGGCGCTGTTACGACGACATAGTATGCATCACAACTTTCAGAGTGTAAAGAGTTCAATTAATGTCAATTTTTCTTAAACACAAATTAATAAGTTATTATTTTTTATCACCATATAGTTCCTTTTAAAGAAAAATACTGTATCAAAAATATCTATATTAAAAAAATAATAATGATTTTTTTAGCATTCTTTAATTAACGTGTATTGTCAGTTTATTCTTGTGTGTTTATTGTCAATTCAGTCGTCAATGTGCATCATTGCGGATGCGACTCGTGCGAGATACGCAGTGTATGTAATTGAACAGAATAATGAAGTAATTGGCACAGAGAATGAAAATAGAGATACATGACGCCATACATCCACGCGGATTAAAATAGGTTTAATTCATGAGTTTAATGATATCGTTTCTCGGAATCGCAAATGCTTGAGATAAATTCGTGTTCATAATAATCGTCTTGTATATATTCGCCGTTCTATTATTCAATATGTAAACTGCTATGGCTATTAGCGGCGATAAAGCATTGTACAATAATTAAATGGATATAGAAAATATAGTGAATGTTGCTATAACGCTAACAAAGTAATTCTGATGCAATCATAAAGAGATGTTTTCACACATTTAATGTAACTGTATGGCTTAAAGCCCACTTTACACGATCTATAATTTGCAACAGAATTCAAGACAGAATTCTATTTATAATTTTATATATCAAATTATGAATATAATTATAGATAAGAAAAAATTTTTGTATTACACGAACCATAATTTGATTTAAAATTATGTATAGAATATTCGATTGTTTCTTTCTTTGACATATGGTTGGATTATTAAAAAATACGACATAGTTATTAAGAAATACATATAAATATAATAAAAGTATAAAACATATGAAAGAATCTTTTCTAATGCATCGGCACAAGCATGTTTATTTTTGTAATTGATAGATTTTACTATATATAGGCAAGGATATTTCTTATATTCAGTTAATAAACAAGTAACTTGCTCCCGGGACCAAGACATTGTCACATATATTTTTTTTCTTCTTTTCTTTCTTTAGATTATTAAACAGATACGAGAGTAGGTTAGCTTGTAGTTTATGTCATTTACAATTCACCAATCATGGGTACATTGCGCATATTTCATGCGTCTTTTCTATTTATAAAAATAAAGCATGATAGTTATAATTCTGATTGTTCACATGTTATATTTATATTTTTCTTAACTATACAACCAAAATTTAGACAAAAATCTGACTTTATATAATGTGATAGTAACTGTAATAAAATAATTAACGATACTAGATGATAGGAAACTCAAATGAGAGCCGAGGCGCGGTTATTAATGCACAAACTTTTTGTTGTGTAATTTCATTGACAAGTATGCATTAAATAACTACGTAAATGCATACTTGTTAATGAAATTAAGCAACAATAAGTTTACGCGCTAATAACCGCGCTTCGGCTTTTATTTGCCAGTTTCCTCACTTAATATCGTTAGTACTCTGAATCTATATTGCTGTTATTATTAAAATAATTGTAGTTAAAAAGATATAATTAAAAAATTATAGTTTATATTTATTTAATAATATCAGAATAAATTTAATAATGTCACTCTATTGACTCTATTTTTTCTCAATAAAATTGTAAATGTGAATTTTTAATATTACAATAACAAGTATAAACGAAATATTATGACAGAGATATTACGATAGACGAGAGAGATTTCCAAATATACAAAATAGGAAATTCAAAACATTAACAACTTTATTAAAATAATTTCAATAGAACGCAATATAAATAACAAGAAATGATTATAATACATTGTACATATAAAAGAAATATGCAACATAAGTTTAAAAATTTAGAAATATGTTATTTCTATGTAAAAAAAAAGATTGCAAGATAATTAAAGACAAAAACGTGTATGTTGAAAGTTAAAACGCATTATATGAAGTATATAATAACAAGTTAAAAGTTGAATCGGAATAAATATTATCACAAAAAGATATTTAAGAATATATAAGCGTACATAAATAATTTAAGCTTTGTATACATGTATAATTGCTGATCAAAATCCGGAATAATCTTTATCGATTATAAAATAATAGCAACTTGTTAATTAATTTCTGATGCATATAGAAAGAGGTTTTATAATTAAGTGACAGGTATAGTAATATGAGTAGTCGAGTTTGAGAAGAGATAAAGCGATAGAATGAATGCATACCTTCAAGTGTTAGACCAGATCGTACCTGAGGGATGGTCGACGGAAGTCCAGCGCTTCGAGGTCCGACGGTTCGCGTTTACAGAGCGAACAGAAAGCGCACTGTAGGGTATTTTTAAACGCTTCTCGAAAGTCACGATTAAAGTACGCATAGATCAATGGATTCAATGCCGAATTTGTGTATCCAATCCAGAAGAGGATCGCAATCACGATGTTGGGACACGGACAGCTGTTGCCGCATAGCGCCGTAGTGACGTACCTGACAATTGTATAAAATTAAAAATTTTTTATTTATACGAATTTTGAGAATGCGAAAACCGATTAATTTCTAATTCAAAAGCAATTAAAAATATGAAAGGTAATTTACTCTGAATTTCTGCGTGTGTCCATGTATGTATGTATGTAAAACTCTAGTATATTTGTTTAATAATTTCCCAAAAAATATTTTTTAGCTATCTTTGTCTTATTAATATAAATTTGACACAGGATATTCGTTATTGGTGATACAATAAAATGTATGAAAGGGAAGGGAAGATTAATCTAACATATCAAAATTTATTACCAAGACTGGGACCCACGTACCAGAGGAAAAATGGCAGCCAACAGAGGATGAAAGTACCCATAATAATACCTAACGTTCTTGCCGCTTTATGTTCTCTCTTCATTTTCATCATGTGTTTATCTTTCGTGGGAGTGTGCAAATGTTCGGTGTTAATCTCGTTCAATGTTAGCGTTTTCGATGATCCGCCGCTATTCAGTTCTCCGTTCAAATTATTGAGATCCTTGCTCGGTCTATGACTGAGTAACATAGCATTACCCATTCTGCTGTGCATTTGCTTCTCCTGCTTATTAGCCTCTTTGAATATTGCAAAGTATGTGACCATCATAATGGTACATGGTATCCAGAAGGATATACTCGATGAAAGTATGGCGTATATTCTGTTGACTTTGAACTCGCATAGTTCCGGATGTTTGTGCCTGTGCACACTGTTCTCTTCCGTAGTGTACCAACCGCAGAAAATTGGCACGAAGGAAATAATGGCTGGCGCTAGCCAGCAAGCGAGCAGCATAAATGCTACCACTCTTTTCGTCATGTTAATGGGATATTTGAGCGGCTTCACGATTGCATAATATCGATCCACTGAGATACACATTAGATGAAGTATCGAACTGGTGCTAAAATATACATCCAGGGAATTCCAGACGTCGCACATGAAGTAGCCGAAGAGCCACCTGCCAGTTATCTGGACGCTGGCATTGAAGGTCATTGCAAACATCGCTACAAGCATGTCGGCCAATGCTAGCGAGACCACGAAGTAGTTCGTTATGATACGTAGTTTTCTGTGTCGTATCACGGACACCATTACAAGGAGATTACCGAACAAAGCCGTGGTGATGATTGAACCAAGGATGCAGACTTTCAGGATGGCTGATGACACGTCCGGCCAATTGATCTCCACAACGTTTACTTCAGTGTTATTGGCGTAAGGATCCTCTTCAGTCGAAGTGACATCCAGCATTGATGTCATGTCGAACGAAGAGATCTCCGCTGGGTCGAATGTCGTTTTTGCGGTCATCCTCACTCAGTGACGGTTCTTGCCGTCACCGAGCGTCGACCACTCGTTGGTCTATCCTCTCGGTCAAACGGAAGAGTTCCGAAAAGGTGACTTTTTTAAGTGACGGAAGTCCCGATCAATCGACGCGCAAGGCAGACATTCATTTTTGATTCGAGAGAAAGAATGTTTCTTTTTTACACATTTATCCTTCTTCGCCTTACTTGTCAACATAATTAGAGTTACGAGATTCACGAAGCCGACTCATAAGAGGCACCTCGTAAAAAAGATTTGGCTCGTTTCTAGCACAATCTTATTTTGTTGTCATCTATGCACTCTTCTGAATCTGTAAATGAGAAAAAAGATATTTTTATAAAAGAAAATCAAGGATATTCTTTTAATCTACAAAAAAAATTGCGATGCTAGTGAGAGCGAATGAATGTTGTAAAATTCACAAATATTATTCAGAAAAGCATTTCTTTATCAAAGTGCATCAGCTACAAGATATATTTAATTTAAACGCAACAAAAACACCGGCATATAATTATATAGCTGTAATAAAAACATTTCATTTTAAAAAATATTCCAGAGATATTTTATTATTTTTAATGCCGTATATATAAGATTACTAAAAGTTTTCTTTCAACATATTCTATTAACATTATTGAGTTGTGCTTGTCCGATTCAATTACAGAACCTAAAATTTTTATTAATTAAAATTTCTAAATCTTTATGAATTCAAATTTCTATTTACATGATAAAGATAAAACAGAAGAAAATTTTTAGTACGTATTATAATATTTGACGAGTTTATTCCTAAATAACTTAAAACAAGAAATATATAGACAAATAGAGTACAACTAAAAATTCAAAAAAGATTTTATGGTTTACATAATATATAATTTGTCACTCGCACGTGTATGAAAAATAATAAAATGTATTAGAAATTTTCCACAAACCACAATTAGATTCAATATAAAACTCTTAAAATACCAATCAAAAACATTATCAAATTTTTGAAAAATGTTTATCAATTAGAATAAAAAAATGCTATGATAAACTGTCTAATATTACTTATTGCAGATATCCTGTTATAAAATAAAAATATATGTGTACGTGTTTGTTTGAAAATCTTTAGAGTAATTTTAGAAAAGATTTTTTTTTTAATTTAAAATAAAAGAATGGGCTTGGCAACACCATCTGGCTCACAAAATATAACAGAGTTTTGTAATATGTAATTATCTTACATAGCATCATAGTTGATATAATAAAAAATAACTTTTGTTATTCAAAACTAATGGCATTATCTATCAGTTGCCATAAGTAATATAATAGTTTAATAACTTTTCGTCGTATGAATATAGGTATGATTGTTCGAGAGATAGAATGTTTTTACTTTTTACAGTTCATAATCATCATAGATTTAAGTTTACAACAAGAGTAGCAATTATGTTTTGTTTTAAAGCGGAAAATATAAGTTTGAAACATAGTTCAGATGATGCACACAAACAGCTTATAGAAATAAAATACCATCTGAATCAAATATTTATTGTTGATATAAACGATTTCGGGAATCGCAAAAATTGAGATTTGAGAATCACAAAAAATACATCTAAAAATCAAGTTCTTTCTGTTTCTAAAAAAATGGAAAAGAATTTTTCCCCGAAAGACTAATTGTAAATACAGAATACTACAAACAAGTCACGAAACGTTATTGAATCGTCTAACAAAGAATTGTTTGAAGTAAAATGTAGCGACCCAGGAGTGAGTTTTTCTGCATAATAACGCATCTGCTCACAATGCTACAATAATCCAAAACAATGTTAAACGATCTTTAACAAAAAATTATAGCTTTATATCTGTCTTCTTCGTGCAATTTGGTGTAAATTATTTTTTATTGTCTAAATTTCCATTATTTATTAAAGAACGACATTTTATTCATTTCCATTTTAATCATTTCATTTTAAACAAAAGAGCATTTTATTGAAAAATACAGAAGTTATACAATCGGTCTAGTAAATGTATAATTAAATAAAATTTATATTTTACGTAATTAGGAATATAAATAAATGTTTTTCTTATGATTTTCTTCAGACTTTTATGATTATTCCCTAAATCTCTTCAGACATACATACAATGTGTTTTTATAAATATTATTAATAAGTAAAATAATCAAATTTTAAAAAAGCACACACACGTATTTATTTAAATTAAAAGTTTATATGTCTGTTATTAAAAAAGTATTAATTA